ATCATCGACCAGAGGGCGATTCAGAGCCAGCTGCCCTTCTTGACTGCCCGCACTATGGTGATGGGCGTCGTGGTGAGTCATTCGGACGCCACGGAGAAGGTCTTGTCCTCGGTATCGGCCGCTGTCGGCTCCTACGATGAGACCCTCACAAAGTACACCGCCTCGATACGGGTGTAGAAAAAAGAAGAAAATGATGAGACGGTGAAGCAGCTCGATTCAATGGTAAGCTCCTTGTGCTGAGCTGAACAACTTAATATGAGCCTTTTATCATTTTTTCGTCACTACTCTAGACCTCCAAGCTGCTGGAGGAGTACCGAAAGCACAACTACTACTACGCCGGACAATATTTTTGTCTTTTGCGACGGCGTCTCTGAGACCCAGTTTGAACAGGTGAAGGAGAAGGAGATTCCGTTGATTCAGGCCGCCATCAAGAAGGTCAGCAAAAGCTGCAACCTGAGCGTCTTTGTCATTCAGGTATTCTATTTGCTACGTTTGCTACTTGAAATACTATTGACATTGGTCAATTGAATTAAATTCAGAAAATCCATCACACTCGATTCATGCTGACGCAGTCACGAAGGAGCCACAGCTACAATGTGCCCAGCGGAACGGTGGTTGACCGATCGATTGTTGAGCCTTTTTACGATGCTTTCTACCTTAACTCGCATTTTTCTCTACAAGTAAGAAGGTTTTAATATTATTGGAAAAGTTTAAAAACACATTTTTTCTCTCTTTTTTCAGGGCACCTCTAAGCCGACCAAGTACATTTGTTTGCTGGACGAACTTCAGATGGCCACCGACGAGCTTTAAAAGTTTTGTTTCTACGCCTGCCACAACTACATTTGCTACAACGAGGCCATTTCGTAAGTGCAAATGAAACACTGAAGTTTTATTTTACTTTTACCAAACTTTAACTGACACTACATTTTTAATCAAACTAACAGAACTCCAACTCCGGCTTGCTACGCTGCGCCTATCGATCCAAACTGCACCTTGTGAGTCTTTTTTTCTAAAAAACACTTTTAACAAAACTTTTTAACTTGTTTTTTTCCAGAGAGGACAACTTGAACTTCAGCTCCTCAAAGGGTCCAGCTCGCAAAAAGCGTTCTCTAAAGAGCAGATCATCATCAGCCAACTGAACAATGATGTAAAAATTCACAAACGAATTTGCAACAGCCTCTACTACTGCTGAATAGAAGCAAAACTACAACATTGCAAAACTGCATAGATTTTCTCCCGTTTTTGTTTGCTCGATCAATCAATACTTTTATTGCTTTTACTGACTTATAACTTTTTCTCTGTTTTTTTACTTAAATTCTATCGACTACTTTTAATGATAAATGTATATAAAATTACTTTCAAAAAGAGCCTCGCCGATAAATTACTGTTTACTGTGTTTTTTCGCAGTAAACAAAATAAATCGTTGTTGTTACAACACAAAATAGTAGCAGTGCACGGTTTAAAAAGTCGAGGTTTAACGACACTTGGGCACTCTGAACGTCCACCAAATCAGGGTAAGCCGCTGGCCAAACTTTTAAGAAATGTTAGCGGTGCACAGTTAAGTGTGTCGTAAGCAAAACGAACTCGACTGAACCCTTGTTTATTACTAACAAAGTCTACTTTCTTTAGTTACCACAACAAAACGTTTGTTTTTGTTTATAAAAAATTGTTTTTTTATTAAATAGGTTGAAACTGAATTACACGCAATTAAAACAGTCAAGTGTGCTAATTTTAAATAATTAAAGCAAGTTTAGCTGTAAGATTGCCAAAAAAATTTTTAAAATTTGAGTTACAGTAGAACAGAAAAATAATAATTAACGCACACACTAAAAGTAGAATTTGTTATAAAACTGTTTTTAAACAAAATGTCAGCATTAAAATCACAAAAAAAATTTGTTTTTCATTTATGTTGTGTCAAAATTTTAAAAATTAAAATACATACAATAACCTAAAAGTAGACAATATGTTATTCAAATTAATTTCACAAATTTAAATTGATTTTAAGTTTTGAATTTTTTACTTAATTTTAAAACAATACATTTTTAATTAAAACTGGTAAGTTTGATTAACTTTTAAACAAAGTTAACATATTTTATTATAGTTTTTTTACAAACACAACAATTAAGAATAATCTGCTATTTAATCATGGGCGCCGCTTCAAAAACTTTCAACTTTATGTTTTTACTAGTTCTTTTTATTTTGTTTATTGTGACTCACATTCCCATGAGGCCAATTAGGACGAATTTGATTGTGATTGAACAAAGTCTTTTGCTTATCAGTGTTTTCAATTTTATTATTGTCGATCCGTTTACTGCTTTTTGGAAAGATCTTAAAACAGTCGGCGCTGCTTTTACTAGAATGGTCTATTCTGATTTGTCTTTATTGCCTTTGCCAGAGTTACCACTATCAATAACAGAACAGATAAACCTAAAAAACTGTAACATGGATGTCGATAAGACAGAAAAAATCAGAAAAATAGACATTGTAGTTGATGAAGAATTGATAAAGTATGCAATTAAGGTGGCAAAAGAATTAGAATTTTGCGCTTTGGATGACTACAAGTACTCTCCGGATAAAGATCGAATTATCGACTGTGATGAATTTGCACGTACCAGCCTGGTTTCAGATGTACGCTTCATTTACCCTGACTCTGATTTTGAGCTGTATGATGCTTTTCACGGCGGTCTCCTTCTCTACCTATTCATGATGGTGGGCATCCTCATCTGGGACCCCAAACCTAAAGGTCCAGTTCAAGGTCTTTTCTTTTAATCAACAAAACAAGCAGAGACATAAACCAGTGGAATTCTAGTCAAATGTGTTTTTAATATTGTAAATAATTGCCAAACTTTTGCAACTGATGGTGAACATTGAAAACAGCTATAGCTACATTTTATACAAAATGATTTTCTATTGTTTTCTACTTCAAAATGTAAAAAGTATTCCTGGCAATTGATATGCACCAGCGATGAATGATATTGCTGATCAATTGCGAAACCTTCAAATAAAATTGCGCACCATTGGTTGCTGATCTTTTTGCCGCACAAAACCGCGTTTTGCATTTAAAGCTTAACTCGTTGTAACTGGTGGCTTGTTAAATCGGCGTTGACTAACCAGTTCATGAATGGCCAAGTTGCCTAGAAACCAAAGTCAATTAAGTGGAGAGCAGTTATAGGATAAATGGCATCCACTGTTGAATGTATTTCGAAGTGTATAAAAGCTCTGTGTGAGCACCAGTTTGTCTGTTTGTTTACCTAAAATTCAATGCGATAGAAGTAAAAGATTCCATTGACATTGTGTTGAACAAATAAACTTACAATGAGTGATCCCAGTCAAATCGACGAACAGGCCACACCTTCCCAAAAGCGTCTATTGACTACTGCAGAGAAAAAGGATGTAATTGAATCCGTTTTCATGCACGACCCCGTTGGCACAATGCTACGCCGCATCATTGACAGAGCTATCCGCAACAACAAACCGATGTTTCCGATCGGTTTTCTATTTCGTGCCGATATCGACGAGAATCTGTTGGTGATTACCGTGGGCCGTCGTTGCCATATTATTGAAAAAGTTGAAAAATTGAATAAAACGAGTTCACCGCGTTTTCATTCGGAATGCCATGACTACACGAACGTTCCTGACGGAAACATTGTTCTGGCTCGTTTTCAACTCTTCATCTCTCCAGTGCAGTGCGTCAGCAGTGGCCGTTCAACTGAGTTTGCTGAACGCCGGATGCAGATTGAGGTCAGCTCGGAGTTGTTTGCAAAAAATGAAAGTGGTCGGGTGATCCTCCCATTCGGACTTCCTTCTCAACTTCCAATTAGTGTTGTCAATAACCCTCAACAGCCTGATTTTCCCTTGGTTCGCTTCAATGCTCGTCAGCTGAAGCCTGAATTTAGCGAGCAAGAGCTGGTCAAAATCGGCGACGTCCTATTCCGAAACTACAAAAACAATCCTCTCAAAGTGTTTCTCAGCAACCTCATAGCTGCATCTGCTGCTTATCGCACTTTTTTCACTGGCATGCATCAGTCACTTCAACTTGGCTTTCTCATCTGTTCCGACCGTTACGGAGGTGTACTGAACGTCGAAGTGAGGACTCGTGCTAGTCTGGAGCACTACATCACCAACAACGTAAACTACGAGTTTTTCCGACGAGATGATTTCAACTTGATCAGAGCAGAAAACACTCAATTTTGCACTGAAAACCTTTTTTGCGTCCTCAAAAACCGGGGTTCATGCGACTTTGGAGTGGTTCCCTTTGACGAACGTCCACTGCAGCTTCAAGTGATGGTCGAGCTGCTACGCGGCAATGTTCGACCGCCCTGTGGTCCACCGGCCAGAAATGTGCTGTACCTTGCCAGCGGACGCCCAGTTCACCTGCCAGATCCTTGCGTCATTGCCCATAATGAGGACTTCCCTTGGGCCATTTCGGTTAAACTTTCGAGCCAGTAATGGCATTGCTAAACTATGTTTCAGAACCTTAAAGTAGTGGTCGCATTCCTACAGATTTTATTTTTAACTATTGGTATTTCAAAATCAATTTTACTTTGATTTATTCATTTTTTATGTAAAGTTAGAAATAAGGAAAAGGCCTGATCAAGTTTAAAAATAATTAAATAGTTGACAAAAGAAGTAGACAGTGTAAGTTGTGCTTATTTGGAAAATGATTCAAGTTACTAATCAAACATTTATTCGTTGGCAGTTTCAACTTCAACACCAATGGTGCGCAAAGCAGTGTGCGACCGGATCAGAATCGAGTTTGTTTTGAACTTCTTAGTAGAGCTTTTAATAGCTTGGCTAAGCATATTTTTTGCCTTGTTTTTGTCACTTTCAGCTATGGCTACAAATCCAAGTTCCATTGTGGTTCTTGATACAATTTTTGTGTTAGTAATTAAATCCTTTCTAAAAAACAATTTATTTGTTATTACGATAATTATTTGTTTTATTGATAAATTACTTACCCGTTCATAATAAGTTCAAAACATTTGGTCGATTCAGCGTACAGTTTACTATGTTTCAGTAAAACGCCCTTGTTGAACAAAGCCATAAAGTACT